ATGTGCTCATAGAGCGATCGAAGTATTTTGCTTCCCTCATGTCATATAATATTTAGAACTGGAAGAGACATTAGAAATTGTTCTATCCCAAACTCCCATCTCTCACACCCATAACCCCATCTTCATTTTATACAAACGTGGAAAATGAACTTACAGAAGTAAAATGAAATGCCACTGACTGGCTTATTAGAAGACTATAGAGTAAATGGTCACACCTGCTTTTTAATGCATAATAAGATGAACATGTAAAATATGCCTCAATTCATTTGCATTTCCCTGATGGTCAGAGGTGTTGAGCATTTTTTCATGTATTTTTTGGCCATCAGTCTATCTTCTTTTGGAAAGTTTCTGTTCATGTCCTTTGCCTACTTTTTGATAGAGCTGTTTGATTTTTTTCTTGCTGATTTTCCTGAGTTCTGTATAGATTCTAGTTATCAGCCCTTTATTGCATATGCAGCATGCAAATATTTTCAACATCTCTAATCAGGGAAATGCAAATCAAAACCACAATGAGATATCACTTAACTCCAGTAAGTTATCAAAAAGTCCCAAAACAATAAATGTTGGTGTGGTTGCAGAGAGATAGGAACACTCATACACTGCTGGTGGGACTGCAAACTAGTACAACCTCTGTGGAAAGTAATACGAAGATACCTCAAAGAGCTCTAAGTAGAACTACCATTTGATCCAGCAATCCCATTACTGGGCATCTACCCAAAGGAAAAAAAGACATTCTATAAAAAAGACAACTGCACTAAAATGTTTATAGCAGCACAATTCATAATTGCAAAGATGTGGAAACAACCCAAGTGCCCATCAATACATGAGTGGGTTAATGAAATGTGGTATATGTATACCATGGAGTTCTACTCAGCCACAAGAAACAATGGTGATCTAGCCCCTCTTGTATTATCTTGGATAGAGTTGGAGCCTATTTTACTAAGTACCATAAGAATGGAAAAACAAGCACCACATGTACTCACGACCAAACTGGTATTAACTGATCAACACTTAAGTGCACATATAGTAGTAACATTTATCGGGTGTCAGGCAGATGGGAGGGGGGAGGTCAGCAGATGGGTATATTCACACCTAATAGGTGTGGTGCCCACCGTCTGGGGGACAGATACGCTTGAAGCTCTGACTCAGGTGGGACGAAGGCAATATATGTAACCTAAACATTTGTACCCCTGCAATATGCTGAAATAAAAAATAAATAACCTAAAAAACAGAAAAAAAAATATATGCCTCAAACTCATAATTAGTAGAACACTGAAAACTAGAAGTTAGATTTTAAGATCCAGAGCTAAGATTATATATTTGGAAAGCTGCCATCACTTTTTGCTCAACATAAAGATATGGGGAAATGATTTAGTCCAGAAGACTGCTAGGGATAATGTATAATAATACATAAAGTGTGTATGTGCATGTACACGCACGCATACTTTCTGTTGGTAAAGTTTCATTACATGGTTATTAGGAGGAACTCGTCTTCTGAAAAATAAAAAGCACCTTTTTTAACAAAAAAAATTAAATTTAAAATAAACTTAAGGTTGTGTTTACCAAGGCATAGCAAAAGAAAATACCCATTACCATCCCATCTGCATGCCTTACCATTTTCAGATACTCTATCACAGACCAAGATCATCACCTCAGGTAACCATGCTTCTGCCAGTGGAAGCCATGAGGAGACACTATCGAGACCTGATTTCTAGAGAGAGCAAAAACAAACAAACAAACAGAAGACAGACATGTAAGAAACTCACGGAAAATGCAGGGGGAGAAGGACACAATAATTTCTTATTCAAAGCTCTATGAAAAACATTTCTTACTTGTGTGCTGTCAAAGTAAACCACAAATGCTTGGACGGACTCTGCAATCTCTGCAGTGACAAGAAATTTGTTTGGCACCACACATAGATTGATATCCGCCGAATAGTATTTATTATCAATGGTCCAGGGATAAAATCTCACAGCATCATTGGAAGTCACTTCCACAGTAAGATCTTCTACTCCGAGGATCTCTAAATAAATGACACGACATTACAAAGGAAAGTGCAAAACCAATATATGTTGGTCAATTTTCTCAATAAGATACCAGATGAATCTGGTACTTTGGCTGTTTCCCTTTATGCAAGGATTTCAAAGGGCTCTGCATTTATTAGGTCATTTTCTTTTCTGATCATT